AACATTTCTAATAGTTTACTATTTAATACAGGTGCTTCACATTTCTCCTTATCTCTGTAAACAGGTTTTCTTTTTCTTTTTCATTCACAAATGGATGTATAATTTTATTGGATGCTTTTTCTGTGTCTGTTGGGATGGATATAGTTTCTTTCTTTCTTTCTTTTTTCACTTTGTTACTATAGCCAATGGCATCCAATTGTATAGTTCTAGTTTAAAATGTACCCAGTTGTCTCAAGATTATCTGTGCTTTCTGAAATATCTGGATTCTTTTCTTTTTTGAAAATAGGCATCAAACTCAGGACTTCGTGCTTGCCAGGCAGGCGCCGTGTCACTGAGCTACATCCTTTGCTGGGAATATCTGTACTGTTATCTTGTGCTGTTTCCTTTTGCCTCACTGGACTGCTCAGAAATGGTTTTGTAACTTCTTGGCTCTTGTTCATTGGGAGGAGTGCTGGCTCCTCATGTTTTCTGTGCTCAGATCTAGAAAACAGGAAGTGTTTTAAGAACACTGGATTCGCAATCAGGGAGATCTTGGCTTGAGTCAGATTTATCCATTTGGTACCTGGTGATCTTGCACAGATTATTTAAGACTTCTCTGGATTTACTTTTGCTCACCTGTAAAGAGGGTTTATGTCCTTCACAAAAACCCTAAAAATCAAATTCAAATGATGCACAGAAATGTTCAACCCAAGGATTAGCACACCCTGCAAGCAACAAGTTAGTTATTGTCACCTGAAGTGTAAACCTTGTGGTAGGCTCTTTAGTGACCTGAGGATTACATGTTCGTCTCTAGTCTGGCTCATACGTGCATTTAGGATTGAGAACATGCATCTTAAGTCAGTGGAATATTATGCACAAGCCCGCTCATGTATTCAGCAGAGCTGAATGCACGTATGCCAAATGCCTTGCTAAGCATGGGAGATGTATCATTCCACAAGATAAACGTGGGCTCAGAGAGACATGCTCTGTACTCTTGTGAAGCTCACAGGAGAAAATAGGCAGTTGAGTGTTTGGCAGATAGGGTAAGTACGGAGTGTGATTTCCCTTTTTAAAAAGTATTTCTTTTACAGGGTCAGCCAAAGAGCTCAGCGAATTAAAGCACCTGCAAGCAGGCACAGGGGCCAGAGGTTCGAACCCTGGGGCTGCTATGCCGGCCCTGCCCCCAGGGTGTGCTAAAACAGCAATTAAGACTGGGCCTAGTGGCACATGCCTGTAATCCCAGCACTTGGGAGGCTGTAAACAGGAGAATCACTACGAGTCCGATCTAGTGGAGAGACCTTGAACACCCTGTAGACCATTCCCTAAAATATAGGAAAAAAAAAATTAAAATAAAATAAAATAAAAAATATTTATTTTATCCAGGCATGAGTGGTACACATGATGGCTGGCATACTTGGAAAGCTGAGGTAGGAGGATCTCAAGCTTGAGGCCAGCATAGGCAGTTTAGTGAGACCCTATCACAAAACCAAAATAAAATAAAATAAGACTGAATGTAGCTCAAAAACAGAGGGCTTCCTTGGTGTCCATGAGGTCCCAGGTTCAATCTTGAGTAGCCTCCACTTAAGGGAAATTTTCTTTTTCTTAAAAATTTCTTTACCGGTATAAGTAAGATTTAAATTGCTGGAGGGTTCTGTGCCCAAATTTCTGGCTTCCTGTCTACTTAAATCATTGAGCCTATCAGGTTTATAAGGCACCTATGAGAAATCATGAAGAAAATGAAAGAAAACAGAGATCTAAGGAATAAAGGTGGTAAGGAAACACAAATATAAGAAACATATATTCCTATGGGTAGGTCACAGAAAAGCTGTGTAGTGCCTCCGTCATAGAAACATGCTGGTGTTAAGCTCCTGACTGAGCCACATTTCGAATAGGAAGCACAGCATGGCTGTCAGGAAGCTTGCCCATCAATCCTAATAGAATCACTGAAGGAGAATTAGGAAGATTTTGAACCCCAAAGGGGAAACCTCTGAGCCACTCCTAAAATATTCAGGCATTTGTGGTATTAGGTGGACAATAAAACATGCACACCAGCCTATCAAAGGCATTTTTCATTGCTTTCCTTTCATTCCCAGTGCTTATAATGATTTCTGGGCTTTGGGTCCTCCCATCCTACCCCTTAGGCTATGGATCTCAGTCAGGGAAAACGGATAATGATTTCAGTGTTTTTCTCCCCATTCTTCCCCCTACTCTGCCTCCCCCCCACAAGTTGTTTTAAACTGGTAGATCCAAAGTCAGTACTTAGAAAAAAAAGGTCTGTTTAGACTCAGGAATCCAGTAGCTGCTAAGTCTTCTTAATTTTCTTGAAGAGAACATCATTGGCCTGGGGATAGGGGCAACAACACAGAACTGTGGATATGTAACTGACTTTATTTGATATCCCTCTAAAAATTTAATCACCAAGGAAATGGGGGTAACTTTGCTGCAGAATTCATTTTTCCTTTGTGAGACAAAATTGTCATCTTTCCACATAGTTTTTAGGCTGATCTGACTGAATTAATTATGCATCCCAATGTGTTTGGTTTTAGTGATTTAAAAAATCTTGTACTTCTCTTTCTACTTGGTAACCTTAGGAAATTGATAAAAACAAGTGCTGTGGCCCTGTTAATGTTAGAAAGAAAAAAGGAAAAAAAGAGGTGAAAACAGTTCAAAAAAGAAGCTGAACAAATTGTTATATATTTAAGATAGCATATTAGTGATTGAAAAGAATAAAGTATCTAAACATGTGTTGAAATAAAAAGATCTACCATTAAGGGAAAAAA